TTTTCTTCCTTTGACAATTTAGAATTCTTTTATCTACTGACTTTTTCTTTTCTTTTCTTTTCTTTTTTTTTAGGCAGGCTGGTGCCCAGGCTGAAGTATAGTGGTGTGATCTTGGCTACTGCAGCCTCCACCTCCCTGGGCTTCGGTGATCCTCCCACCTCAGCCTCCTGAGTAGCTGGGACCACCGGCACATGCCACCATCTCTGGCTAATTTTTGTGTTTTTTGTAGAGACAGAGTTTCATCATGTTCCTCAGGTTGGTCTCCAACTCCTGGCCTCAAGCCATCTGCCAGTGCTGAGATCACAGGCATGAGCCACCATGCCTGGCCATATCTACTGACTTTTTGCCTATGTCATTTATCCCTTAGTAGTTTATAGGTTGAGTTTATGGAGATGTTTGGGTTTTGTTGTTGTTTAAAAGCCTGTCCTCAAATAACTGAACAAATGGGGATTTACCAAATAATCCACAAGACAAATTCTAAGCAGCAGTTTCTACCTTCCAGCTCCGGCACTAACAAAGCAGCAAAGCCAGCTGATGTGATGCTGCACCTGGAAAGTATATGCAAAAGAAGGACCTGCGCATAAAAGGAGGGGCCTCATTCAGGTACAAGAACTAACCTGCTGACAGTGGTGTCCCCCACATGCACTAACAGTCCACTTACAAGGTACAACAGCAGGTGAACCACGAGGTTCACATAGGTGCCAGGCTCTGTCCTGTCTCGGGGGCAGGACAGGGCATTGGTTAAGGTGTGCCTGACTCCCTGACCACAGCCTTGCTCTGTCACATCCCAGCTGAGAGTCCTAGGGCAACTTCTTAACTTCTCTGTGCCTCAGATTCCACCTTCACAACATGGGGTTCTCAGAGGTTGTTGCCAGGATTACATGAACCTTGCCTAGTGCATGCTAAGTATTCAGCCACTGTCTGCTAACTCTATTACATATGTTTAGGCTTCTCCCTTTCAGAAGCAGTATTTTTAAAATTGCAGGTCACAATCCATAAATGCATTATGAGACAAATTTAGAAAAATAAAATTATCATTTTTCAGAAAGTGAAGAATAAAACATTGTATTTAAACATTAATGACGTTACATTTCAGATTACTTTTATAATATTTTTCCTTAGCAGACATAGTAAGATTAAGTGGTGCCCTATGATTCTCTGTTTCTATGTATCCATGTGTCAGACAGCAATCTATATATCCATATGTATCAGGCAGCAATCAACAGGGTATTTCTGTCTGTGTAACCACCAACATCTCTCAAAAGACGATTTTATAAAATGGGGGTGGTAGGGAATCAGGGAAGACTAAAAGGTGTCATAAATCAGGAACAATTTTATAAAAAGCAGACACTGGAAGCAAAGGGAAAGACCTCCTAAGTTGACAGGACAACACAGCAAGTACCCAAGGTACACAAGTCTGTTTATGGCTAGGATGCTACTGGCATTGCAATCATCTGAGCTTAGCAACATGTTTTTATTTCCAAAGCAAATCGAATTGCAAAACTGGAAGTACAGATGTTATCTTGATGCTGGGTAAACTTGGAAATATTCACATGACTTATCCAGTAAGTCATCTTGTAGTACTTGTTAAAGTAGATACTATGCCAGATTTCAAATGCTCTTAAAAACCACCAGGGTTGGGAAGAGATATGAAAATGTCTTTAAACAGAGATACTTAAATGTGGATGTACATTTAGTCTAACAGTTACATTATAACCAAATTCCTAGCTGAAAATTTACCTGTATAAGCCTTCCCATGAGAAGATGAAATGGAAAAGAACTATAAGCACATAACTAATCATTTCAGAATCCAGTAAAAGCACTTATCTATGTATTCAAAAGGCTGTTTGACATGGTATTTTACAATGCTGCCTCTAGACTGGGTAAGAGGGGATCACATCCCCGGGCCCCACTCCTGCCATCACCTGTCTTCCTGAAGATTTCCTGGGACCAAGTGGACCTACCTATCCAGAACCAGTGTCCCTCTACCTGGTTTTAGTCTGTGATCCAGGTCCCTGGAATTCCCTCCCCAAATCCCAAGTACCTTCTAGGACATGAACAAGCTCCTCCCAGATCTGTCCTACCCAAAGGGGACATCACCACTGATGTGTGCCAGAGGCATCTAGGTCAGGGAGTGGCAGGTACATACCAAGACTAGGAGTGCAGGTGGACACAGTGCCCTTCACCAGGTGGGACTGTACCAAGGGTGGGAAGCAAAAGGGAAGAAACCTGGGCCAGGGCAGATTCTCCCAAATGCATTTCAGCTCACGACTCTGGGAAGCTACAATTTGAATTCAAAATTCAAACCCAGCCTTCCAAGTCAGTATGAAGCTGTAGCTGTCAAGGTCAGTGGGTAGAAGAAACTTTGTATAAATGTTGTTAATTCACAAGTTTTAAACATTTAGAGAGAAGCCCTGTAGACCTTCATTTGTTCTCTTGCACAGTACAGGCAGGCCTGGTGGTTACACAGTGGACTCAGATTTCAGGCTGGGTTCATCCCCAACCCCAACCCACCTACCAACTACAGGAGCTTAAAGAAGCCTCTTAATCTTCTCTGAGTCTTCATTTCTTCATGTACATTTAAACAAGGATAAAGAGAACGTCTTCTTTACCAGGTTGTGAAGACTAAATGAATTAGCCCAAAGTACCTAGAACAGCAGCTAGTCACCTAACAGGCAGGTAATAAATTCCCCTATGACATTATTCTCATACAAAACTGATTAGTCACTGCACACTTCCAGATAAAACCACAGACAGAAAGTGGTTCTGTGTATTTCTTCTTTCCTCTTCCTCTTTCCTTTTAAATATATTGCTGTATGCCACTCCAAAAGATTATTTTCTATTTTGAAAAGGTCAAGTCACCTGACTGCTGACCTGCCTGGGTCAAGTTCTTCTGAAATTAAAGACATGTTCATATTCTATACCAACTCAGCAGATAACTCAAGCTTTTGGCAGGTTTGAAGTTTGAAACCTGGGAAATTGGACCTGTCAGTTTCATTTGCCAAACATTTGAAAGAATTATCACTTTTAAGTGTAAAAAGGACATTTCCTAATCTTCATATGCATGAGGTTCAGAGCTGTAAGCCAGGGTATGTCCTTCTTGTTTCATAAACCAGAGGCTGAAATGCTTGAAGCTATCAACAAAGAAAAGTTACTCAACAGAGAACTCAATGCCAAAAATAGAGCCCTATCAGCAGAGAAATAGATGCAAAGAGACAAGCCTTTATTTGGCTACTTATTTGCCCACATTTCTTTATTATTAAATGGAGCCAGCATAGTGATTACAATTTGCCAACAACCTTCTCATGATTTATATTCCTTCAGCCTACAATGACTGAACAAACAACTTGAAGAGAAATGTTTGCCACATGTAATGACATGCAGGCAGCATAGTGAGCATCTTGTATTATTTCACCATAAAAACCTCTCTTTCAAATGTCTAGCTGTTTGCTATGGGTTGAAGATTTAAAAGCCAAGAAGGAAAGTACAATACAAGGAAAGATTCAAGGTCATGTTTACCCTTTAAAATATATACCTAACCTACATGTTCAACATAGGGGACAATCAAACCTCCATCTTTTCTAATTATTCTTAAGAATTTTTAAAATATATTATTTATCAGCCTACTCAGTGCATAGAGCTCTTTCCAGTTTCCCAAGCTACGTCTAATTAGTCTACCACAAAAAGAACCATGCTGGAGTATTGTTAATTTCAACAATACTTTTTCTATTAACTCAAATCTTCTCCAAACACCAAATGGGGGGAAAAACAGTATAAAATAAATGAAAATTCACTGGATTCTATAGAGGCAAGATTGAGCACATCCATTCATCCAACAGTAATCCCATCTACAGCAAATATGTTGTTTCTTTACAGAGTTTTGCCAACTTCCTATACAAATCTCATGAGCACTTCTTATGTTTGCCAGTTTTTATTTATGCAGTTAAATTGGCTTTTTGTAAGAGATGGGCTGGAAAAACAACACATTTTTACAAGCCCATTAGTCATACAGTCAAGCTTCATTATATCATAATCATTCATCAGTAGTCAGTAATGAGCATGCCATTTCCTTGTGCAATGAGGATGTTAAAGAAAATGTGTCTTTACAACAGGCCATGAAATGTGTCAAATACAGAATACCCAACATTAATGGTAAAGGCCGTGAGTTCATCTGGTTATCATCATTGCTGAAGCGCACAACAGTTGAATGGACACAAACCTAGCCTTAGCTTAGAAGCCACAGCCTTAATTATTAACCCTTTCATGCTTCCACCCTTTCCAAACTCCACTCCCTTAAGAGGAGGACATTCATTTAGAATTAATTACTGTTATTCAAGATGCTCATGAGAGATCATTTTGACTTCAGTCGTTTTTCTAGTATATGTTTGCTGCAGTTTATTCTATAGATTTATCCCTATATCAAATGTATACACGTCCCTGAGAATTGTGTATGTCCTTGTCCCTGGACTGTGGGAAGTCATGATGTTGTGGAGGAGGGAGCTGAGAGCCTGAAGCTGGCAGACCCCGGGATCCTGCAGGCTCCCTGCAGGGCTCCCCACCTTCCACAGAGGCACCCATTGAGGTTGCCCATATGCTCATTCTGCGCCCATCAATGGGAGTAACTGAGCTTGGAGAGGAAAAACAACAGCCTCAACAAAACACAACGTGTGCAGCTCTGATAATGCAGGGATGAATTAAGGAGACACCGTCGGGGCTGGCTGGAAAGGGGAAAGCGTTCCATCTCGGGATTTTCACGGTAAATTTCAGGAACCAAGGGGGCCTCTGAGATATCCACCAGAACCTCTCCTTTCCACAAGGCAGCTTCAAATAGGGCCCTTCCCTGCTCATTCTCCACAAAAATCGGGGTTCCCCGGATCCCAGCAGTGAGCGCTGTTCTCTTAGGCTGCTGTTTCCCCAACCGCTGCTGAGGCGCAGCTGGAGTGAGCCCCTCCGAGCCCTGCTTCGCGCAGCTGCTGGGGGAGCCCAGAGGAGCCCAGAGCTCAGAGAAAAGCAATGCGCTCCGCAGGACCCAACCCTCCCCATGGCCACCAAGAGGGCCCGCAGCTCCTCGGGCACCGGCAGCTGAACCCAGGTAGGGACGTCCCAACCGCAGAGCCCGATGCCAGAGGGCACCGGGGGAGGGGCGGGGAAAGAAGGCGCCGCACCTCGCTCCTGGCACTTGGTTCTTCCCGGGAGTCAGGGCCACGGGCGCCCCGGAGCTGGAGCCCGGGAGAATTCCTGCGCAGGCACAGAAGGGCAAGAGAGGTCCCTGACCCTCCCCGCCCCGCTCCAGGTACCTCGCAGCCGTAGAGCTGACCCAGCTGCTCCACGATCCACTCCTCCAGCACCAGCCGCTTCCGAAGCTCTTTACGGTCGTATTTCACTGTCACTTTTCCCTGCTGGTGGCGCCGCTGCTGCTGCTGCTGAACCTGCCCGGCAGCGGCTGTCGTGGCCACGGGCGCCGAGTCCTCCCGGGAGGATCCCGAGCCGCTGCTGGAGCCGGGGCTGCCACCTGCGCCGCCCCGGGGGCTCTGGAAGAAAACCCGCGCGCCGCCGCCGCCGCCGGCCCCGCCGGCCGCCTCGCTGCTGCCCGTCGCCACCGACATGTCCCCGCGCGCCCGAGCCCGAGTGCGGCCCGGAGGAGGGGCGGGCAGAGCGCGCCCGGCGCCGCTACCACCTCCGACCCGGCAGCCGCATGCGAAGGGCTCCCCAGCACCTGCTCCGCGCCGCGCGCGCCCGGCCGCCAGGCTGTTCTGGGAGGGCGGGAGGAGCCGCGGCGGGAGGGAGGAGGGCGGGGAGGATGGCGGGGCGGGGACCGCAGCCTTAAAGACGCCGCCGAGGACCCTCCGGGTCCAGCCCCCGGAGGCGGGATCTGGCGCCGGTGGCAGAGGGCTCGGGGCGTGGGAGTCGCGGCTGGGCGGGGAATGTGTGCGCCAAAACACGGGCGGTCGCTGGTGTGCAGACTCCGGAGGGACCGGCGTGGGGCGGGATGCCAGGGGATGCTCCTCTGCGCGGGTGTCCGTGGCCTCTCGTCTCGGAGACAGGGACTCGCGGGTCTCCCACAGTCCCCGAGCTCAGGAAACGCGCCGCGCAGCCCCAGGCAGGACCCGCCGCGAAGGGGACGCGGGAAAGGACCTCGCCGCAGGCTCCCGGCCGAGGTTTTCCTCGCCCCACTGTCTACTCGGGTGGCTGGGTAGTGTCTCCTCCCCTCCCAGCCCCGCCCCGCGGCTCCAAACACACATTCCTATTCATGCCACGATGGATGCCACTTCCTCCCTGGATTGTGAGAAACATCAACTAGGCGATGCTTGTGCAATAAGCGAGTCACGGCGCTTGAGAAATTATTTCCAGACCCGTGTTTCTTCCCTTACTAGGCATCTGCTTAATCATAGGCAGCGCACTCGGATATCTACATATCCAGAGGGCAGAAAGCCCGCTCAAGCAAGGCGGCTGGGGCATCCAGACAGTAAACATTTCTCTAAAAGTGTCGGCGACAGGGTCCTGGTTTCACATATCTGGTGTTGCGTTCCCTGCACTGCCAGCTTTCTCTCAATGCCATTCCAAACAACCCCTTCCGCCCAGGAGTGCAACAGCACTGCCTGAATCTACTGTAAATCATCACAGCCGGGTAGTTAGTTACACACGAAGGAGCTGATCAGAAGGGTTAGGGCAACAAGGTGAGGAGGGAAGTTGTAAACAGAAGGCTGCCTGTGTAACATTAGGGAGACAGTAACATAGTCTTCTTGTACATAACAACACATTCCTGTTCAGCAACTGACAGAAACTACAGAGACGTCCAAATACAAGGAAGCAGCTCTTATGAACGGTTTTTTATAAAAGAGCCATAAAGGTTACTGGTAGCTACTCAAAGAAGTTCCTCAGAGACAAAATAGATACAAAGTCAATTTCCTTGGAACACTTTCCTGTGATGAAGATCCTGTGTGGGGTTCTAGACTGACACATATAAAGACAGAAAATAAAAGACCAGCCAGTTTCTCCTGAGGCGTCAGGTTCTGCCATCCACCAGTGCCCAGCTCTGCTCTACCCAGGCTTAGGAACGCCTTTGTTCCCTCAGTCTGGGGTTTTCCCGTGAAAGCCTCGATAGGGATTTTCCCAAAGTGTTCCACGCCTGCGGCTCTTCATAGGGACATGTCAGGCCTCACAATGTGAAAGGGAAGGATCTGTGTTGTCGAAATAGGGAGACTGGTGTAGGCCCTGGACTCCTGCCATAATTGCAAGGGGGTCAAGGCTAGACTATCTCTGCCTGCTAGAGGAGGCCAGCTGTCCTTCAGAAGGTAGGTTTTTCACCAAGCCTATCAGGGACAAGGGAGACAGAATTACCTTCATTGCACCTAAAGACCGATAACCAGTCTGTGCACCACCTCTGCCCTTAGGGTGGGTCATTGTAAACCCCGAACACACAGTCAAGAGGGTGAATGCCTCAATGAAATGGGACGCTGTCTGCAAAGAGAAAGGGAGCGTGGCAACCAGCCCCAGCATCTCCTACACAGAATCAGCTTGTGTGGCCTCAGATATCTGGCCAAGTCCGCTAGCACCAGCTTTGACCAACTGCACTAACCAGGAGAATGCAAATCAAAACGAAAATAGCTTAAATGTTATTAACAAAGGAGAAACTACATAAAATCTCTACCTCATTCTGGTCCTGGGACGTGACAATCCTATTGTTTTGAAAATCGTGCCTGCGATCCTACAGTTTGGCAAAGACTGGGGAATTCCAACTTCTTCCTTTGAATCTTTGGACCATGAAATCAGTCATTCAAGGATAACGTCAAAGAATTTACAAAAATTCACTAAGTTCTTTCTGAGAAATTCTGATGTCAATTTTTTTCTCACTGCATAAGATGCTATCTTTTTTTTTTTTTTTTTTTTTTTTTTAAAAAAATTTTTTTTTTTTTTTTTTTTTTTTTTTTTTGAGAAAAGAATTGAGATTTTACTCTCACTGGGATTGTATGGAGGTTTGATGTCCAAATTTTCTGATTATGGACTCTTTGGGATGGAATGAGCATTTCCTTATTTGAAGATAATGTTAGAGTTTAAATGTTTGTATTGATTATATTTACCTTAATATGAAATAGGGCAGCTTTTCTCATCATCAGTTCAAATAATTAGGCAGTTGATAGTGAAAATGAGGCTGCTATTGTACAATCTTGGAGTGCTTTCTATTAAGAACAATATTGTAAGGAATGTTCTTTGATTTTTGACTTTTCTGTGGTATACTTTTTAGGTAGTGTACTTTGAAGAAATGAGGATAGTGGCTAGATGAGTTCAAATATAGATTAAGAAAGAAAGAGCTTTTGTTGTTTCATCTCCAATCATGATATTTTGTGAGGATGTTTATCTAATGTAAAGTGCTAACTCCAGTGAAGATGGTAATTAGTTAACAAAAATTAAAAGAAATGGCAAGCATTTTAACTTAAAAATGCTTACATTTTTGGAAAGTAAAGTGAATCATCTTCTACTTTGCAATTTTTGGGTTCTGTTAGCATCACTGTTACAGATGCAAGTTTTTTTGAAGACAGGTAGCCTGCGCCTTTCATGTGATTGACAGTGTCTTGTATACTCCTTACCCCACACAAAAAAATCACAGTCTTTTGAGGATGAAGGCAGGGGGAGGAATGGCTTTTCAAGCAACTAATAGTATTTGACCATAACATTTTCATCTTTAAATTACAATGTTTATGCAAGATTTTTTAACTGGTTCTTCTTTATATCCACGAATTCTTTTTCATTTCTTCTTGAAGCACTTGGTTTGTTCTGTTATCCTTTTATCTCTTTGTGGATCTTTTACATGCTTATTTTATTTTATTTATTTATTTATTTTTTTAGAGGAAGAAAGAAAGAAAGAAAAAGAATTAAAAAAAAGAAAAAGAAAAAAAAAAGAATAGGAAAGGAAGAAAGAGGAAGAGGAAGAGGGAGAGAGAACAGGGATGTTGCTTTATTGCCCGGGCTAGAATGCAGTCTAAAAATGGGTATGCCTTAATTGTGTTTAATAATAGAAACATAAAAAAATGAGGGAAGAAAATAATTAACAAGCAGCCAACCAATATTTCATTTAAACCTGTAAATACGTGTGATGTAGTACTGATAAGAATGTATATTTTGTGTATTTAAAGTGGAGAGTTCTATGAATACTAATTAAGTCTACTTGTTCCGGATCTGAGTTCAAGTCCTGAATATCGATGTTAACTTTCTGTCTCATTGATCTGCCTAATACTGATGTTGAAGTCTCCCACTATCATTGTGTGGGAGTCCAAGTCTCTTTATAAGTCTTATATATCTGGGTATTTCTGTATTGGGTGCATATATATTTAGGATCTTTAGCTCTTCTTGTTACATTGATCCTTTTATCTTTATGTAATATCCTTCTTTGCTTCTTTTGATCTTTGTTGCTTTGAAGTCCATTTTATCAGCAAAAATTGCAACTCCTGCTTTCTATTTATTTATTTTTGCTCTCCATTTGGTTGGTAAATTTTTCTCCATCCCTGTGTTTTGAGTCTTTGTGTATCCTTGCATGTGAGATGGGTCTGGATGTAGCATACCGATGGGTCTTGGCTTTTTGTTGCCTGTCTGTGTCTTTGGATTGGGGGATTTAGTCGATTTAAATTTAGAATTAATAACAATATATGTGAGTTTGATACTGTCATTTAATGGTAGCTGGCTGTTTTGCCCATTAGTTGATGCAATTTCTTAATTATGTTGATGTTCTTTTTTTTTTGGTATTTTTTTAGAAAGGCTGATACTGGTTGTTCCTTTCTATTTGTAGTGGTTCGTTCAGAAGCTCTTGTAAAGCAGGCCTGGTGGTGATGAAATCTCTGAGTGCTTGCATGTTCACAAAAGATTTTATTTTTCCTTCGCTTATGAAGCTTAGTTTGGCTGGATGTAAAATTCTGGGTTGAAAGTTTTTTTCTTTAAGGATGTTGAATATTGGCCCCCACTCTCTTCTGGTTTGTAGGGTTTCTGCTGAGAGATCTGCTGTGAGTCTGATGGGCTTCCCTTTATGGGTAACCTGACCTTTCTCTCTGGCTGCCCTCAGTATTTTCTCCTTCGTTTCAACCCTGGTGAATCTGTCGATTATGTGCCTTGAGGTTGGTCTTCTTGAGGAATATCTTTGTGGTGTTCTCTGTATTACCTGGAGTTGAATATTGTCCTGCCTTGCTAGGTTGGGAAAGTTTTCCTGAATAATATCCTGAAGCGTATTTTCCAGCTTGGATTGATTCTCTTCGTCACATTCAGTTACACCTATCAAATGTAGATTAGGTCTTTTCACATAGTCCCATATTTCTTGGAGACTTTGCTCGTTCTTTTTTATGCTTTCTTCTTTATGCCTGAAACTCTGTTTTCCCTTACAATTTCAAAAATGACAGATACCAAAAGACATAGGTTTTAGGCATCTTAACTTACAGAGTATCCAGGACAGTCTCTTCCACAGGTATGCTGGCCTTCAGATATTCAAGTGAGTCACCCTGACTGGCAAATAGAGTTGAACCAGGGTCCCACTTGCTCTACCCAATACATAATTTATATTCAAAGTGAACTCCATATCATCTCCTCCACCCCCCAACACACACACACACACACACACACACACACACACACATACACACACACTTCATTCCAGGTTTGAATAATTAAAACTTAATGTTCTCTTTTTGACAGCTAGAAATACTGGTTTTGCAAATTTCAAATATTGAAACCAAAATATATAGGAATAAAAAAAATTTCCTAGTCCAGAGACCCTTTACATAGCTATCTAAATTCAGCAAAACCAGTGATACTTCTCATCTACAAGACCAACATATACATTTGTTCAAGGAAAACACTTTCATTACTAGCCTATTTAGACAAGTGTTTTTAGATGCTGGTTAATTTAAGACAATAAATAGTTTTCAGTGAATAGACGGTCTGGGATGCACTTTCACCTAAAGGCAATTACTCCCTGCTGTGAGAGAGCAACCTAAGGCTGTTTCATTTGTCAGTATCTTCTTCTTTTACTTGCTTCCTGATTTGGACAAAGTTTTTTGTTTGTTTGTTTGTTTGTGTAGGAATTATATAGGTCCTTTATCTCTGAATCTGATCTTTATGCCCAAAGGTTGTTAGACACCATGGTGACTTAATCAGGGGCCCCAGAACTTTTGTCGCCCCCCAGGAAAATAATTAAATACACGTTTATACTCAGATGCAAATTTCCTTACATCTTAAAGA